AAATGATAAGTGGCATTTTGTTCTCATTATACTAAGAAAAGTCAATCAATATAAAGCACATCAATGCATTAATGTAAAAGCAGAAACCAAAGAAAACTGATATTAAATGGAAATTTAGAATCCATTATATTGAACACTACAACTCAATTTCCTGAACTAGAGTTGACAAACCACCAGTAAATGTCCAGCAGGGAATAGTTCTGCACTGATTATACTGACTAGATGATTTAATAGGTCTTCTTCCTCTCAATACCTATGAACATATGAAAATCAATGGTAGCCCACTTAGCAAAAGTACCTTCCCTCCTTCGCTCCAGACGCATGGTTCGAGCTACCTACGCACAGTGATGCTAACAGAGAAGCCAGCTGTGCGTTACCTCCGGGGCGGGTGGGTAAGCTGCATACAGAAATCCCAGGCCAAAATCCTGAAGGATTTAACTTTCAACTCTGGCAAAACCCCTCCTCCCTTCCCACAGAGGATCTTCGGTCTGAGCCTTGCTCTGGGAGAGGAGGGTGCCAGTCCCCAGATGTCGCACAACGTAGGGACCAGCCGGCAGAAGCGGGGGAGCAGGGAGGGCTGTGCCCCAGCATCGCTTCCCCTCCCACGCATGCTCCTGGGACACTGGTCCCTGCAAACCTGTGGAGAGGGGAGGGGAGAGGTATACAACCAGGATCAAGCACTGACTTGTCCCCGTGAGGTCTTCTCCTCCATTTAAGAGCCTCGATAAGACCTAACTGAGCAATGTGCCAAACAGCCTGGCTACATGGATTTATCCAGGTTGGTCTTCTCCTAATCGCTTTGTCCCACGGGCTGCGGAAAGTTTGTGCCTGAGGAGTGGAAGCAGCCACCTCCTCTGTATTGCCAAAGTTTTATTGTACTTTTCACTTCTGAGCTGTCATTTCATTTAATTTCCAGTAGATGCTACTCTACTCTAGATGCTCGCTGGAGCCGGTAATCGCTCCTTCCCTGAACACCAGACCTTTACAGCAACATTTCTTTGTGTATTTTTAGAATACAGGAAAACAGTTTTCAGCCCTCAAAATTTGATCAATGATACGAAACTGATTAATTAATAAGCAAAAAGGAAGGAGCAGGGCTACGAACCAGATCCCGTGCTACTCCTACCCAATGAAGCCCATGGCGAAATGCTAATACAGGACCAAATTCGATAATTTAAAGACGTTTTGGTAAACAGTGGCAAGAATATGTGAAATCACATTATACATCAGCAGTGCTGGTAAAAAAACAAGCATGGGTATATGAGAAGCAATAAAATCTTATTGCTTAGTAGTGAAATAAGGGGAAATGGAAAAACACATCCTTTCTAGAGGAATCTTTAAGAATATAAACATACGAATTTGACCACAAACCGATTCATGTCCCTATTTACCATATTGAGCGTTATTTGCACAGTGTATTTTTGAACAATTTTGACATATCTCTGCTTTTCTCAAAAAAAAAGCATATGGTGGAAGCCTTTTCATTAAAGGAAGAGTCATAAGTACCCTTGAAAAGTCTTTTGGGGCAAAGGACATGGTTGAGCTAAAGAAAGATTATTTCTCAGCCATTTTAATCCGTGTCCCCTGAGTGCTCTGTGCTGTGGACAGAAAAGCCTGCCAGCCATCAGAAAGAATGGAAAAAAAAAAAAATCTTCTGATCTGAGTTGGGCCATGCTGGAAAGAAAAGGTAAGTTTCTTCCCAAATTTGTATTCCTGTTATTTGTAGTCATGCTTTTTACACGCTCATGCTGGAAGTACCGGGAGGACAAAACCTGATGCCAGGTGTCCCATGTAAAGCAATTGTTCCATGGGAAAGGAGGGAGGATGCCTAATTTCCATGAGAGCCCTGGCCTGCTATCAAACCCCTGGTAGGAGAAAGAGCAATGGCACCTGCTCACAGACACCCCCCTTCAAACCCCTCTTCCCTGCCCCTGCGCAGTACGTGCCCCAAAACTCTTTCTTCTGCCCCTGCTTTCAAGAAGAGACCCACACTCACTGACTAATAAAACAACACCAGAAATTCTGTGAAGTGACCAAAAAGGAGTAAAAGAATATGAGGAAGCATTGCTTCAGACTATAATTAGTGAAATCTACTGAGAATATTAATGAATGATGCCGAGCAAAGGTTTACCAACATTGCGTATTTCTACAGCAACTCATCTACAAAAGTCTTCGCCTTCCCCCCCCACCCCCCATACTTTCAGTAAATTTTAAAATAAGTGGCAGCATTAAGTTAATCTTTTATTTAGCTAATAGGAAAAGGTTGCATTAGAGCTTTCCTGGAATAAATGTAAGTGTACTTTAAACTGAATGCATAATGGCAATTCCCCACTCAGCTGGGAACTGCACTAAATACAGCTTTGTCAAATCTTGAGCTTTTATTGCAAGTGTCACATTATCTGACCTTTTTCTTAAAGCTTTAGTTACCAGAATCATGTTATTATGTGAAAATCTCAGCTTTTATTAGGGGGATAAAGGTTTCCAGCCCTGATGGCTAGAGAGGAAATGTCAATTCCAGAGGCACCTAAAGCAAATGAGAAGTACCTGAGCATCTGCTGCTAAAAAGAATAATAATAGAGCTTCAGCGCTAGGCTTGGGGCATCTGTAACCATGAGTGTTACAGACGGCATAGCTGTGTGGGAAAACACTCTACTACACACAGAACAGGGGAAAATGGTTCAGTTGTGTCCCCTCCGCCTGAGCAGCTACCCTTTGGGATCCCTGCCCAAGCCTGGGGATGTGCATCTCCAGGTATCGCTACATAGCTTAGGCTTTAATGCCATTTAATAGCGCTTGTGGAGCTTGCGGAAGAGATTTCACTCTGTTGAGCTAGGATTAATTTAACTGCAACAGTCTTATTTGTGCATCGGATAGCCTTTTAATCCCAATGTTTCAGGCAAGGCTGTAAACTCGCTAGAAGATGCTGGCTTCTCTCCTCACCACTGCCGTTTATCACCATCTTGCTGATTCCTAGTCCTCCCCCACCCCATTCCCAAGACAGTTTGTTTCTCATTTGAACTTTAGCTGCTTGAAAGATAACGTCAACAGCAGTCACAGCAGAAGCAAGCTTTGCAAATAGGATACTGTTGCTTTGCATAAAAATCTTTGTTGAACATTTTGTGTGGGAACCTCCATTCAGCATCAGGAGAAAGATGACTACAACAGCATCCCAGGCAGCAGAGCGCGCGCACGTCGGGCACCACGCGTCACGCTCGTAGTATGAGCTGCAAAGACATGGTCCTGCACGGTGCAGAAGTTCTGCCGCGGAGTAGAGCCGCCCCAGCATCAGCTCTGCTGTCACCAGCTGGTCCCTCCCAGTGCCTCTTGCACCTCCCAAGGCTGCCCATTCCCCCACCTGTGGCAACAGAGGCTTCAAACAGGGCAAACACAAGGGGAGCGGAAGAAAGGAGAGTGGGTGGCTGCTGGCAGCACCCAGGGTACCAGCAGGTCCCCTGGCAGTGCCACCCTTGCCCTGTCCCCCATGACGGTGGCCCCAGGGGCCACCTCCTGACCACAACACTGAGTGCCTCCACACCCAAAACCAGGTCCTTCCCTTGAAACGCTACATTTCCTCATGGCAAGGCGGAGAAGGGAAGTTTTCTCATTTTCTTTCACATGACAGATGATGGGCCAATTTGGAAAAGAAAGGGGATGTGGCAATTCTGCCATTACTTTGCTGTGAGACCTTGAGCAAATCCCTTAAACACTCTGTACTGAGTTTACCCGACCATAAAATGTCTGCAGACCTTGCAGTGGTATTCTGAAAATAACTGCAATTTAAGGTTCTCCAGGATAAACTGCTCAAAGAGGGAAGAGCATTATGATTTATTGATGATTTCTCTGGCATTTAGTGTTTTCCACAGGCCACAGTTCAGCCAGGAAAGATGGAGGATGCCATGGTTGCGATTTTTTTCCCTTCCATGCAAATGGTAACCTAGGCGATATGCAAACACATCTGCTTAAATCAAAGTAGAGTTTTACTCCTCACCCTGCTCAGGCACAAATAACGGCAGCAATTCGGGAGGTTCAGAAATACCATTCAAACACAGAGAGCGAAATAGGAGAAGCACACAAGTGCATATTTAAATAAGATAATATTAGTAAAAAAAAAGTAATCTCTTCTAAAAGGCCAGCTAATCCATTAGGAAAAACAAACAAGCACTTATTATTATTTGTTCCATTTCCATAAAAATGTTTTTAGCACCAAAGCAATACTTACGCTTCCACCTTCTGCAGTGTCTGTGCAAGACGTTAATTTTCAGGTGATAAATGACAAACTGAACGAGACTTTTCCAGAAAAATGGGAGAGATCAGACTAATGCCTCAGGTAGGCTATAATGAAGCCATCAATTACAGTATGCACTATCTAAAACCCACAGGGTTGGTTTTTCGCTTTACAGCTGGACCCAGCATAAACAACACCCTTTGGACAACATCTCTGCCAGGGGCGTTCACTGATCACGCCATTGATTAGATGCTTGCAGGTGGCTGGGGGTGTTCTCTGGGAAGTTTTTAATGTCCCATAATAGTGTTCATGAAAGCAGCAAGCACTTGTGGCTTACACGAGTAACATTACAGTTGTTACTGTATGCTACCCCGATGGTGTGGTTTTTTTGTTTGTTTGGTTGGTTTTTGTGGGGGTTTTTTTTTGTTTTTTTTTTTTTTTTTTTACACCCTTTGCATCCCCATAGCTGAGCTGGCTGCCGAGTGATGCTGAACAGCTAGGCAGTTTGGAGGAGGTGGATGGGACCGCAGCTCTGGTACCCCGTGTGTCCTATACTCAATTTGGGTATGGACTGGGGTGACCTTACCAAGCAGCTCCAGAGCCAGGTAAGAAGAAACTGCAAAGCAGGGAGCACAGGTGGCTGGCACACTGGGAGCCCCAAATTTGGGTTTCTGAGTAAGGCAGATTGCAGAGTGTCTGAAGATAGGAAATGTCAAGTCATTTATAGCAGTAGCAGGATTAGTTTTATTTTTAAAGCTCCAGTTTCCATACATACCTCGGACTGTCAGGAGTGGCGTGAAGCGAATGCTGTTGCACAACTGTGTTTTACGGCTTGCACTCAAAGCCGGAGCGTGGGTGGGGAGGAACTGGTTGCACATCTCTAGCAGGAACCCTAAAGGATGTTGTAACAGCCACATGGAGAAAACATCTGCTCATTAGCGAAGCTGCTCTGTTTCAGACACTGAGAGCGCGAGCACGAACAAGCCCCAAGCGGAGGCTGCTCACGGCTGAATCCCCATGCCGAGCTCCTGGCCTCTGCCTTTGGCCGCCCCGGCACCTCCAGCCTCTCACTAACCCGCTGTGCTCAGCAGCATCCCCCGGCCTGCAGCTCAACACCATAATTTCAAGGGTTTGTTCCCCCCTGCCGGCCAGCTCCATCACCCCCATTTCTTTTTCTCCTTCCCACAAACACACTTGCCCAGCATAGCAGCATTTTCCCCGGGTTTAGTTTCTCTGACTTCTCTTTCTAGTTGCTCCACCTAGTCACCTCCGCACGCCTCAGCCTCTTCTCCCCGAGGCTGTCAGAAGTCAGGAAGGCGACTTCCCATACACTTCCCAGGCTGCAGAGATCCCTCAGGATGCTCCTTACTGGGACAAATCCTGTCCCCTCTGCCAGAAATGGCTTTGTCCCATTTTTTGCATCCTAGGAACCTGTTAACAGGTCTTACCCCCTTGGTGAAGCACAGACAAACATAGCCCCTCTCCCCCCCCTCAAATGTCCTGCAAGCTGTCCTGTGGCTGCTTCGTCCATGGGGATGGGTTCTCCAGAAGTCTCATGGAGAGAGAGCGGCTTTGCCCTGAGACAATTCATCCCCAGGGCCAGGTTTGTGCGGTGGCCTTGGCCACAGAGGAAGCCTGTCCTCACCCCCAGCTCTCCTCCAAGCGAGAAGTTACAGAACCAACAGAAGGGCAGTGGGACTGAGGGGATAAGACCAATGATGCTGCAATCACAAAGTAGCGCTAGTGAATTATCCACGGGGATTTTTGGATGGGTAATAGCCGCGTCTCGTATTTTTCCCAGTCCCTTATTACCTAGGTTCACAAGAGTCAGATGCTGAGACCCTGACGTGCACCCATCTCACAGGGCTGGTGTCCTTACACACCCAGCTTCAGATTAGGGTTGAGTATCTGCAGAAAACGAGGACAGAAAGTGCTGGACCCCAGCTGAGCTGGACCTGTCCAAACACCAAGTGCAAAAGCAAGTTTTGTGGTGCATGCCCAGCTCTGTGCAGGCGAAGGCTGGATCCAGGGACCTCACCGGGAGAGGTCACAACATTTGTTTGCCAGGCCACAAAAAAAAAAAAAAGAGAGAGAGGAAAAAAAAATCTGGAGCCCATATTTTCCCTCATTTCAAGCCTGAAGTGTACTTGAGGAGTCTGAAGTCTTTGACAGAGTTTTAGACTTGCAGAGGGGGATTTTATTTTGAACATCCTTTAAATACTCTGTGGGTAGGAGTATTTCCAGTTTTGGAGCGGTGCGTGTATTCTGATAAATAAAATCAGCCTACAAAGTGGACCTTTGCATCGGCAATCAATACTGCACATATCTGCACTAGTGACTCACACAGCCTGTCATGGGTTTTGTTTGGTTATTTAATGGAGAGTTATATTTATATTACAAAATATTTATATTGTAAATGTTTTAACATCAATTAACAGATATTTCGCACTAAGTATTTATAGAAAGGATAGTTTTGCATCCAGTGACGTGCTGAAGTCTTCGTAAATACATTTTGCAAAACTAAAGTTTTTGGCATCATATATTGCTCATCTCAAAAGAAGGGAAACTGTAGGTCAGAAGTATGGCAGCGGTACTTGAAAGAAACACTTTTCCTAATCTATAGTCAAATCCTGTTATACTTCCCAGTCCAAATGGTGTCACTGGCCCAAATTCTTCTCCCAGACACACGTTACATCTGGAATAGATCTACTAAGGAACAGCACTAGGTTTGCTGCCCTGTAGGCCAAGCTGGCCCATGAAGACGGATCAGCATGCCTGCCGTGCGAGGAGAGGAGTCAGAGTTCTATCACTGCAGCTCAAACATGGTTTTTTGAATCCAAGTTCTTGCAACTCCCTAGTTACTACTCGCAGCAGTCACAGCTTTGGCAGAAAGTCTTTTCTGGTTTTTTTTTTTTTGTTTGTTTGTTTGGGTTTTTTGGGGGAGGGTTTTTTGTGGGGGTTTTTGTTTGGGGTTGTTTGTTTGTTTTTGTAAAATACATGTTCAAAGTCCATTTCCATCTACATGGGCAGACACTACCGCACCAGTTATCTGAACTCATAGAAGTCTCTCCCCGTACAGAAGCCAAGCCACAAAGGGGTTCAAAACATTTGGTAGCCACTAGAAAGGAAAAAGTTCTCCAAAACATAATTTTGATTGATTCCCTCCTCCCCCCCACCCCGAGACTTCAGAAGGACAGACACCTAAAACTTCCCCGATGACTGAGATTTACCAGCTCATGCAGCAGTTCATGGGAAATACAACTTGCCGCTAGCGGCTCTCAGTGCCTCTGAGGGACATTGTTTTTCAGTCCTGACCCTTTGAACTGCAATTGGTGCCTAGCATTTTGGATCGGATGCCAAACCTTTCCCACAGTCATTTGTCTCATAGGTGCTGAAGCACCCTCTTCTCTGCAACCCTCCTGCCTGGTGCGTGCCTGGCTGCTGCCCATGAGCCCCAGCACCATGCGGGGCTGCTCGCTGGGCACTTGTGGTCCCAACAGCTCAGCACCCAGCAACAGCAACTCAGCAACAACTGAGTGCACCCAAAGAAGCGAGCCTCCAAAACCCAAGGTGCTGCAGCCACCCCATCCCAGAGCGTGGGGTTTGCTGTGCTGCTGAGGGTCCAGCACTCTGGGGAGTTACTTCTCAGTGCGCAAAGGTGGGGCTGGAGACAAAGTTCAAAATCTGTGGTGGGATAGGCATGACGGGGGTCATGGCATTTAGGGTAGGCTGGGATGAAGCTTGGCATGGCCCACAGGATGCCCACGCCAGCCTGACACACACGGTGCCTCCCTGTCGCCCAGCTGTGGGACGTTGGTGGAGCTTTGCATCCATACGGCTTGCAGAGGCTTCCTGCGTACACTTTCTGGGCTCAACATAGCTTGTGTGGGTTTGATGATGTAGGATTTAAAAAAAAAAACAGTATTAAAAATCTCTCTGCATAGGAAGCAGATCTGCAGTAGCCATTGAGCAGCGTAGACTCCAAGGGGAAGAGGGCCCCTGTGGGGTTTGGAGAGATGTGACACCCGCCCAACACAGCTAGCCAGGATGGAAGCCCTCGCCTGCCGCAGCAGGTCTGGGTGACCCATCCTCCTCCTCCCACCAGAGCTGGGCTGTGGCTCTCCTCCAGCCCAAAGCCATGCTCGTTTTCGCTGAGTTTTGGGGCTTCCCAAGCTATGGGTTGGGAGGGGATGGCAGGGCGCTGCCAACATGGCGGTAGCATGCCTGTAGTGTGGGTGCATGCCATGCACCACCTTTCTGTCAGGGTGCTGCCGGGCAAAGGCAGCAATCAACGGGCTTGCAAATGCTGAAAAAGCACCAACCTACCCTACTGCAAAGCAAACAGTGCCCCAGCTCAAAAATAATTATACTGCTCCAACACATCGCAAAACACTGCAGGACCCTAAAGGCAAGCCCTTAAGTGCCTCCTTTCCGGGACCTGGCGGTGCTTAGGGACAGACACAACAAAACCCCCTCCTGGGTAACAACCAAAACCTCTGGGTATGATCTATAGCACATGAAGAGGCAGAAATAGCAGCTACAGCCCTGCACCAGAGCAGAGGGTCTGCGCTCTGGTGGGGAATTAAAACCGCCGGGCGGAACAAGCTCATTTGCTTCAAAGCAAAGTGGGAATTCCTGGCCGGCCGCACAGCTGCGGGACATCTGCCCACCCCCCGGGCGCAGGGCTCCACGGCTAGCAACCTGCTAAAAAATTATAATCAACAACATTCAGAGCAACAACAACAACAAAACTCAATGGGACAGCAGAGCCGGGGAGCTCGAGTGTGCCCGAGGCCATGTGTCAAATCTGTGGCACTGCCAAGCCACGATGGGTTTCCCATCCTCACTCGATTCCCTAGGCTAGCTGTATCTCAAATACGCGTATGTAAATCTGAAACAGACCGCTGGCCTGACTTTAATTTACCAGAAAGCTGAACTCACACAATTTAGGAGCATAAAGACCAAAGCAGAAGGAAGAAGTTACGCATGTGGTTGGCTTCAGGCCCCCAGGAGAAGGCTCTACCCCCTGTGACCTTGGAGCAGCCTCCCAGACCAGGTGAGGTCCCACTCACTCCTCCTCCAGGGTCAGCGGTCACCAGGGCTGGAAGCCACACAGGTGGGGTCCGGGTCCCCCTGCCAGCCCTGCCTGCTACAGCGGCTCCTTCACATTACCCTGCAAGCGCAGAGATGCATTTCACAGCGAGTCACATAGAAAAGACGAGGGATAATGGGCACAAGTTAATCCTGAGAATATTCTGGTTGGACACGAAAGGAAAATTTTTCACTATGAAAACAGTCAACCATTGGAGTAATCTCCCCAGGGGGGTGGTTGACTCTGCTACACTGGACACTTTCAAGACACAGCTGCACAGCGTGCTGGGCCATCTTGTTTAAAATGTGCTCCTGCCTAGAAAGGTTGGACCAGATGATCCTTGAGGTCCCTTCCAACCTGGTACTCTATGATTCATTTCTGGAAAAGCCCACACCAAATGAGACCACCAGTTCGGCTACCCTCATGCATGACCTCCAGCGGTGGCCAACAGCCAATGCCCAGGATGGGGATAGAAACCAGGCAATTTCATAGCAGTTGCCTCCCACAATACTACTCCACCAGTCTTCATCCCAGGGACCTCCTGAGCTAAAAACTGATATTGTACAGAATGACTTTTGCTAGGTTTATTCTCTATTGATTTATTGAGTTGCTCTTCAATCCTCCCACTAAATTCCGTAGACACTGTCCTTTTCAGAGGCAGAATTAGCCTCTGTGATTAAGGAGAAATCATCCTACTTAAAAGAGAGAAAAATGAAAGCTCCAAGAAAGAAGATTTGCAGAGGTTTTGGGGCTTGCAGCTTTGTTCTGAAATGCTCCAGCACATCA